GGAGGAGGAGGAGAAGAAGAAGAAGAAGAAGAAGAAGAAGAAGAAGAAGAAGAAGAAGAAGAAGAGAAACATAAAACAAAAGCAACAATAACCAAACCCAAAGAAACTCAGTTTCTCTATTGTCAACAACAGCCATACTTATTACATTCCCAACCCTGAGCAGACCAGTTAACTTAGTAAAATAAAATGGCAATAAATAATGTGAGGAAGATCAAGGAAAAGATGACTGCTACCTTCATTCAAAAGTTGCTTCTGGCTACAAAAAAAATATATGAAGTAAAAAAAAAAATAAAGTAAGAATTCAGCTGATTATGACAAAGTTATACCCAGAAGAGTTAAGAACTCTTCCAGAGGATAAAGCCAAGCCTCAAGGAGTCTTGGTGATACTAGCTTTTGAATATTAGCCGTTTCCTGCTATGAATTTCACATGTGCTATTGTAGCTTTTCCATCATTCATTGGGCACAATTTCCCCTATACAATTAAAGTATTTGTGTAACTTTCTCCAACTGTGCTCCAACAGACACAGTCAAAATCCCTAATTTCAGTTCTTTCTGTAATTATCGCCATTAGCAACATCCAGCCAGGTCCATCCCTGGATGGAGGAAAATATCTTATCTGAGATATCTCACAGACTCTCTAAGAACAGACTTAAGCATCCAGACTTTCTGCTTGAGGGGGCCTCGTAGAAGTGCTAATTAAGCTTAACCTTCCCCTTTCCAAAGTTTTATCTCTAGTTTTAGATCTACCTTTAACAATGAACTCAGAACTAAAGGGTTTCTACTTACAGGTACATCAAGCTGTGACTCAGGCTGCCTAGCCACCAAGTGCACTCCCCCGCCCTGCCAGAAAACAGCAGTAGCCAAGATAGCTTGGACAGATAAGGGGCCAAAGGCAAATAAGGCAGTTTTATTTTCACTCATCACTGATAGACTCCTAACACTTTAACCACTTCCAAGAATATGGTTTGAGCACATAAATTTCCTTTTCTTAGATATTAACTGAATTTAACCCTTTGTTGATTCATTTCCCCATTAGTTACTTCCCTTTGGGGTTGCAGATGATGGCTGACAGCTACTGCTCTTTTGTGAGGATCTTATTGCCCTTCCTTTGACCCTGAGGAATTTCAAGTCTGGTGACCTTGCCTTAGCCAGAGTATTGCTATTGCATGGGTATATAACTGTAAACCTCAGAGACGTGAGGAGAACTAGATTGGAGGACTAGAAGAGAGTACTAGAGGAAGGAGATAGAAGATGAGGAAGAGCCAGATGGGGAAGAACAAGATGAGGAAGAATAAGATGAGAAAGGAGATGGGAGAGGAGCTAGATGACAAAGAACTAGATGGATGAGAACTTACATGGGGCAGAACTAGATGAAGGAATTAAGATAGCACTTAGAGGGAACAGCATATAATTGCAGAGAGAAATTAGGCAAGAAAGGAACTAAGTAAGAGAGCAAAACAGAAGCCATGTAGAGAGAGAACTGACTCAAAAAATTAAAGTGAATGAACTAAAGAGTTTTGTGTATGAAGATTTATTAGAGACTCCTTCAGATTAATCCGCTGCTGGTAGCGTCTCTTCTGGAACTTTGGGAGAAGGCTATCTAGGGGCTGGACCCCATCAAGACAGATCTGTAGGTAAACTTGGTTGTAAACTTCAAATGTCAAGGTCCTCTGTTAATGACCAAAGTAGCAAAAGTAAAAGAGCTGGGGAGAACCTCACCTTGCAGGCAGTGGGGCTTGTGGAAAATGCCTTGTAAATAAGGTGATGTGGTGTTTGTCCAAGTCTAGAGATAGAATGCCTCAAAAGGAAACTGATCATTTACGAACATCACATTTCAATGGAGACATAAAGGGGCAAGACCAAAGAAACACATATAATTAAACTCTAATTTGCCTCACACAAGAAATGCCACCTAACTGGGTGTGGTGGCACATGCCTTTAATCTCAACAGTCAGTAGGCAAAGGCAAACAGATATTTATTTATTTATTTTATGTCATTTTTTTTGTCATGGCCAAGCTTATAATCTTTTATTTTATTTTTTATTAAGAAATGTTTTATTCATTTTACGTACCAATCACAGATCCCCTTTTCTCTTCTCCTCCTACCTCCCCCCAGCCTTCTCCCCCACAACGCCCCCCATTCCCTCCTCTGAAAAGGTAAGGCCTCCCATGGGGAGTCAGCAAAGCCTGGTATATTCAGTTGAAGCAGATCCAAGCCCCTCCCCCTGCATCAAGGCTGTGCAAGGTGTCCCACCATAGGTAGTGGGTTCCAAAAAGCCAGCTCATGCACCAGGGATGGATCTTGATCTTACTGCCAGGGGGCCCCTTAAGCAGATCAAACTAAGCAACTGGGCAGATAGATTTTTAATCTCAACCCTCAGTAAGCAGAGGCAGACAGATTTCTGTGAGTTCTAGGCCAACATGATCTACATAAGTTCTAGAAGAGCCAGGACTACATAGAGAGACTTTACCCCAACAAACTAAACAAACAAACAAAAACACCGCTCAGGTTATTTGGCTGTGATTTGGTTAAACCTGATTTGGACAGAGCCTGAGACCTCTGGCATTGTGCTGGGCTTGTTTTTCCTGGTGGGTTCATTTCTGAACTTTCTGATCCCATGCTACTGTAAGCATTTCACATAGGGAAAATTGCATTAACTCTCTGAAGAGAAGAGAAAGTAAGAAAAAGTTTATCTACTTTCTTAACACTCCAAGGGAAGCCATATAAAGTTCCTGATTGAGTAGATAGATATTTGGAAAACAACATGCACATTTCCTCAGCACGTGACTGAGAAGTAGAGGCCCTGGGTAAAGCTTCCAGTTACAAACTTACATGGATTTCTAGTCAATGTAAAGGTTAAATTCTTAGTATTTGCTAAACTTGTTAGGAAACAATATTTCATATGGTTAATAGAATTTTTAGAAGCACTCCATCTTGTGTACTTCCATTCTATTAGGTTCATAGCTATTTTTACTTTACGATCCTGATATTTTCAGCTGATTGTAAGAAAAATACAGAAGCAGTCAAGACAGTGGTGGTTTTAATGTGATTATTCATAGAATGTGAATTATGGTAAAATCATTTCAACTTGAATAGGTGGGTGTCTTACTTTGACTAAAAGAATACAGTTAAAATATAGTCTAATATATTTAATCTGTATGCCAGAAAGATAATAGAAATCCAAAGTCCACTATCAGGCAGAAAGAGGTTAATATTAAACTGCTACTTTAAACATCTTAATAAAGGTTTCATCCTATAAAAAGGGGAGGACACTTTTGGAATCATTTTAAAGGGTAGAAAACTTACAAATCAGAGCATTAATAATTTTTGTATTTTTTTTCCAGTCTCTCTTTTTCTGCCCAGCCTCCTGGCTTGCTGAAGCAGGCAATGAGACAGCACTTGCCACAGGAATGTCTGTCAAAGTGGTGGCCATGGCAACTCCAGCCCAGCATTCAGCTCTTGACATAGGTGATGATCTCGCCATTTTTATCACATTCTAGTACTTCATGACAATCAGCTTAACCTGCTTTCTCTTACGCTTGCTCTTCTTGGGAGTGATGTGAGACTTCCTCCATGTCTTAACACAGCCAGAAGTCCCAACACAAGATGAAGGGTGGACTGTTTTTGAGTGTTGTAGTCAGACAAAGTCCCACCATCTTTCATCTGGTTACAAGAGCTTTTGCTGATTGGGAGGAATGCCTTCCTTATCCTGGATCTTGGCCTTTACACCTTCTATGGTTCTGTCTTCAGCATGATAGTCTTCTCCATTGGGATCTTTACAAAATTCTGCATCTTGGCCATGATTCCACCACAGATGGTCAATTGCAAAGGCAATTTTAGAATTTGTTTAACAACAAGGGCCTAACTGAGCTCTCACATTTCAATAAAAGACATTTGGAACTCAAAGACACTTGGGGCTTCCTGCCAAGTTCTTTACACATGTTCAGCAATTCTACAATAACGTGAGTCTGAAGTGCACAACTGAAAGCATCCATGGTCTTTCCAATAGTCCCTTTGTAGTGTATCTTAACCCCACCACCAACCCATCCAGTGCAGTGGACATGGCCCAGTGTTTGCACCTCGTAAACTCTGGTATTTTACAATGCAGAAGCTGGGTGCAGAGAGCCACTGAGGGACTACTGTCCACAGGAGACAAACTTCTTGTAATGTTGGCATCCAGCCATTTCCCCCTAACAACAGGGGATGGAGAGTACACTGACTTCCCTCATTTCATAGAGCCCGGGCGGGGGCGGGGGGGGGGGGTGCTTTTTAGTTCAGATCTGGGAAATTTATCAGATTAGACCGAAAAGTTTAGATCAAGAGAGAAATAGAAGAAGCCTTATGAACTAAGTTGCCAATTTCAAACACTGGATGTTTAATTTTGAGCCAGTAAGTTGGTATCTCTATTTTTTTAAAATAAAAAAAAAAAAAAAAAACTAAATACTATTTTAGAGGCTTGTCTTCCATTAACATCTGTGCATGAGGGTTAACTAAACTGCTCTTTAGGAGCTTTTAGCTCAAATTTCTGAACTGAGGCAAATCCCTTAAGCTATCTTTTTTTTTTTCTCCTTAAAGTATTTTTAAAGCCAAATGGTGAGAGAAGATAATTCTTAGATGAGCATGGACACATTTCAACAAACTATGCCGCAAAGAAATAGAATGTGATACAAATCAAACCCCTGAATTTAAAAAAAAAAAAAAGGGACTATAAATGAAATTTTATATTGCTTTACACACTAAGGAAAATCACCCGGGAGAGTTCTGAAGAAGTTAGAACTCTGATCAAGATAGGGTATTTTTTCCTCCAACTGTGATGATATTTTAGGAATTTTAAAAACCTCCTTACAGATGGTCATTTGGTTTCCATATGATCATGAACGTAAACAAGCTCAGGGTGAGCTGATGCTGTAAGATGGAGCAGACAGGGCACACAACAGTCCCAAGTGGGGAAGACAGGGGAAGATTCAAACCAAAAGAATAAAGAATTCTCACCACTTACCTATGAAGACAATGGTGTCACTTTCTTGTACCCTGTCTCTGTCTCGGCTCGTGTCTGCACCGTGGTTTCTATGATGCGTAAGTGATAGTCACAAGACAGCAAGAGGCTACTTCCTCCACCCCGCCCAAGCCTCCCTTCATTTCTCACATGAAATGCACGTGTCCAACAGATTGGCCTGTAAAGGCTGCTGTGTGGCTTTTACCTTAATTTCATGAGCTCCCTGTGAATAAATCCAACATATTTGTATAGAGAGTAATGTCACAGGTGCTTGTGTATACAGATTGCTACACGCTCTTTATTCTTAGTCTTACAGCACAGGCTTCTGGGGAATTCGGGAACAAGTCCAGTCACATTCGCTTACGTGTCTTCCTTCTTCAGTTCCCAGTCTCCCTGGAGAGTCCTTTGTTCTGTGCCTTCTCACCAGTGCCCACTTCCAGCACGCTCGCCTTTGCTCAATCATACTCTCTTCCTCGTGGTTTCTGACGGAGAGGTGCATTTTGTTTGTTTGCTCACTCCCTCCATAAAAGTAGTGTCTGTAGCATTCAGTGCCTTGCTCTTCCCTCTTCTGCTGTCTCCCGTTTCTCCAGGACTGTTGGGCATGTCATAGACACTCATTTCTATCGGATGACTGAGTGCTCTTAATGTGTTTCTGCACATGTCAGTCACACTGTCACAGGGACTGCATTTGCATAGCTGCTTGAGTTCTGTTTACACTGGTTTCTGGGAAGAGGTCCATTGTTTGAAAGAATCCCAGTGTGCAAGATGCAAACACTCTGTGAAGAGTGCCTGTGTCTGCTAGTTAACACATACCTATCGGCTTTAAAATTTAACACAAATTTAATTTCACTGATGATGTTAGCACAGCTCAGTGAGAATGTTCAATAAAAGATCTGCCTGTGCATTATGGAGTCTACAAATTATCCATGAAACATGGTAATGACAACCCAGTTTTCACTTTCCAGAAAAATCATAGTCAGAGGCAACTTATCAGCCAGGTAGTAAAGTCCATTTCCAAAGAGCGCCTTTTACTTTGAGGAAAAACAAAAACAACGACAAAACTGCAGTGGTAAATAAATGAGAATAATATAAATATTAACTTGTAAAAAGGTTAAAAAGACACAAGTACAGCTCCTTTCCCACCCGTGAAAAGAAGCTAAAGGACACTGTCTGGGGCAAGGCTAATGGACACTGGGATAAAGGCTCCCACTGAAAAAGATGTAAAATGAATGACGGTGGGGTTGTGGCCAGATAAGATCAACAATGTTTTGTGGGGGTTGTCTTTTACTGAGTCGGATTTAAAATCAGCCCACACATCAGTTCCCCTTTATTTTGATAAAGAGGAAGTGTTTAAATCCACCTGTTCCTCCATTTGTGGTTAATGAGTTGCTAGGAAGGGAACTTCATGACGCTTCCTTAACCAGCTTGGGTATCTTTTATTTAGATTCTTATCGTAATCAGTTACTTAGGAAACTGAAGATCTGCCTAACGAAGTATTTAAACTGGGGTTGGAGTGGGCAGCAAAGCCAACTGTGTTTGTCTATGTTTCTAAACTATTTGAGTGGCCAAACGCATGGAAAAAGACTTGGTGTTCATTTTTCCAGATTTCACGGAGTGGTAACACAATTTTCTTGCCTGTCTTTTCAGACACTGCAAAGAATGATATAATTAAAACTGTGTAACTGCTTTGTTCCCCAACCTTTCGGCTAAAAGAGGATTTTCAAATGTCTGCAAATAAAAGTTCTACAAATTTGCTGAAATATTATTGAGTGCACCCTGTGGGCCAGAGACTGAACACAGTCCTGGCCTGTGTTAGCCCATCATCTCCCTAGAGCCTCGTGCACATCCTTTGAGTAAGGTACACAGCTGACCAGAGCTTGTTAAAGCATCATTTATGGGATGCAGAATTACCCAGATGCCTCATTTTAACTTACACGATTTATTTCATGTTGATTCTTTTTTTAAGAATAGGAAACTATAAATACTGAGGTAGAATGAGCTAACTTCTTTTTCAAGATTGTACCAGGATCAGCTCATGTCACTTCTATATCACTTCTTCATGCTCTGTGGAAGGAAAGACTAGACAATGAGTATAATCTCTGGCTTAACCCTGTCCTGGGCCCCTCGAAGAGATGAGTCTGAAAATCCAAGGCTTGGCCTATGGACATGGGTGTCACTGGCTGCTGTCTTACTCAGACAGTTTCCAGAAAACACCAACCCCTCTCCTCCAAGACAGTGAATGAAAACCAAGGTAAAGAGACACCGGTTCTGGAGACTGAGAGGACAGGCCCTCAGGCTGTCTTTAGCCTAAAGTTAAGTGACCAAGACAAAATACTTAAATCAATAGATGAATATTCATTCACCTTGATAATCCCCAGCATAGTATCCATTTATCATTTACAGGTACAGTGGTTCTTTAGATAGAAATTTAAAGTGGATTTTGGAAAGCTTCAAGTATCTTCCCAGAATTTATTTTAAAGTATATTTTTATTAGTTCTTTGACAATTTCATATACTATATTTTGAACCTATTCACCTGTCCCTCAGCTCCTCCCAGATCCACTTTGCATTACATACCCACTGAGCTTTGTGTCCTGGTTTGTTTTGAAACCCATCCAGGCTGGAGAGCGGTGACGCACGACGTTAATCCCAGCACTCGGGAGGCAGAGCCAGGCAGATCTCTGTGAGTTCGAGGCCAGCCTGGTCTACAGAGTGAGATCCAGGACAGGCACCAAAACTACATGGAGAAACCCTATCTCGAAAAACAAAAAACAAAAAACAAAAACAAGACAAAACAACAACAACAAAAAACCCATCCAGTTCAGTTAGTGCTACCCATATATCCTTGGCTGTGTAACCATTCACTGTAGCACATTTATTCACCAGGAGCCTCCCCCTTGAAGAAACTGACTCTTCCTAGCAGCTGTCAGTTACCAATAGCTCCCCAGCCAGGAGCAGAACTTTGTGACTACCTCTCTCTTCGATTCTAGGATGTTAATCTGGTCTGAGCTTAGGCAGATCTTTTTTTTTTTTTTAAAGCAACTTTATTGAAGTATAATTTACATGCCAAATTATACAACCACAATTGTATGTTACCTTGCCAGTCCCAACTCATAATTTTCTTATTTATAGGTTTGACTTTTTTGGCCATTTCTTTCTTTTTTTTTTTCAAGTTTTTCTTCTTCTTTTTTAATATTTTTTTATTTTTATTTATTTATTTATTTTTCTATTATCAGCTTGATACAGTACAAATTCTTATCCTAATAGTGAAATGTTTCACCGAGGCTTGCCCAGTGATTGAGTAAACCCAAAACTTATTATAAGCCACAGTCATCCTAGGGTCCCCCCTCCTATGTAGCCTCCCTGGTTCTGTGGGTTGCAGTCTGATTGTTCTTTGCTTTATATCTAGTATCCACTTATGATTGAGTGCATACCATGCTTGTCCTTCTGGGCTTTGTTACCTCACTCAGGTATGCTCTCACAACCACTGTGAGTACATATGTGCAAGTGTCCTTTTATGTCCAGAAAACACTGCTAAAGTCAATCACCACCTCTGGCTCTCAGATCTTTCTGCCCCTTCTCCCTTGAACCTTGGGAGAGGCAGTGTGATACACATATCCTGTTCAGGGTTGAGTACTCCACAGTTTCTTATGCTCTGCACCTTGACTAGTTGTGGGTCTCTGTGTTAGTTATTATTACTGCAAAAAGAAGCTTTTCTGATGGGGTTGAAGAGATGCACTAATCTGTGGCTATAACAATAAGTCCTTAGGAGTTGGTTTAATGCTATGTCCCTTTAGCAGAGTGATAGAAACAGGTTCCCCACTAGGGCCAATGACCCATCTAGCTACAGATTCCTTAATAATGGTGCCAGTTATGGGTTCCATATTGTGTGGTAGGCCAGTCAGAAAAATGGTTGGTTACTCTCATGACACTTGCACTGCTATTGTACCAGTGGGTAGATATTCCAAGTTATCATACCTCACAAGGTCTGTAGCTGGACAAAATTTATAATTGTTTTCTCTTCTGATAGTATACATAGCACCTTCCGGTACCATGAAGCTAGCCAGTAAGGATGAAGCCTCAAGGTCAGTTCCAGCTTGATTTCTCCATGTCCTGTGACTCAAGTATGTGATGTCTTCGGCAGCAGAGTCTTCCCTTCAAATTCTGGAGGTAACCAGGAGAAAAGGCAATAGTCTATAATATTTGGGGGTCTGTGGAACCTCACTGGGCATTCATTAAAATAGAAGCCACCCATTCCTGGCACTGGGCTTTCTATTTGTTATCTGAAGGTGTCTAGTAGGGGCATTGCTGTCCAGGCACAGAGTAACCCTATGGAAATGTCGTTTGTATGTTTATGTTCTAGGATACCTGCAACAGTAGTATATCATATGACTTTCATCAGAAGGGCTTTATAGTTAGCTATCCTTCCCCATACTCTCACCTACATTTTTTCCTTCTATCTCTCCATCCCATCTAATGCTTTATGTTCCATCGTTTCTCTGTTCCTCTTTATAACACTATGTTGTATTTCCCTTCCTTGGAAAAGCCCCCTACCTGGACCCTTAATAATTTCCTGACCTCTATGGATATTCCAAATGAAAAATCTAAAGATTCAAAGCTAACATCCTTATATAAGAGAAAACATGTGATTTTTATCTTTTTGGATCTGGATTACTTCACTCAGAATAACTATTTCTAACTCTATTTACCTGTGAATTTTAGTAGTTTGGTTTATTTTTTTTTTCGAGACAGGGTTTCTCTGTGTAGCTTTGCGCCTTTCTTGGAACTCACTTGGTAGTCCAGACTGGCCTTGAACTCACAGAGATCCGCCTGGCTCTGCCTCCCGAGTGCTGGGATTAAAGGTGTGCACCACCACCACCTGACTCCACTGTGTAAATGTACCAAACATTTATTATTCATCCATCCATTGGTGAATATCTAGGCTGTTTCCATTTCCTGGCTATTGTGAATACAGCAGCATTGACCATGGATGAGAAAGTATCTCATGTAGTAGAATACACTCTGGGTCTACGCCCGAGAATAACATAACTGGTTCCTGTTGTAGAACTATTGCTAGCTGTTTGAAGCAATGGCACACTGATTTTCATAATGCCCACACCAGTTTGCAACCTCCAGCCGTGAAGAAATGCTTCCCCTTCCCCACATTACTACAGCACTTGTCATCCTCTTTTTTTCTTAGCCATTCTGACAGAACTAAGA